CTACGATCGAGGGGGAGGGGGGGGGGGGGCGTAAGGGTTGTTTGAAATTATTCCCTGTTTCTAGCCTAGTCAAATCATGGGCATGCCAAATCAGTTTGTCTAATTCACATCTAGATATTTTTTAAGAATGTCACATCTAAGCTCCCACAAATATATAATGCAGCAACAAGAAAAAAAAACTAGGACAAAAAAAATAGACCACAAACAGAGTGGAAATCAATTTAGATGTGACATAGTTATGTCACATCTAGATGTGTCCTAGACAGACCCATGCCAAATAATTGGCGGACAATTCCGCCGCACCCATCTCGCCAAAAAGTTGGCGGGCAAGTGGGCTGAGCACAGCAAAGAATTGGTGTCTGTCCACCTTTGGCCCGGACATATCATATATGATCATGCTAGTTGCATTTGGACACAGACATACCACAAGGTTGAACTAATTGTCTGCATAGCAAGCAGCTCTTCTAGTGGACATCCAAACCATAAAGCCTAGATGTATTCCCGAACCCTCTCATCCCTAAGCAGATGTGTGTTTGACAAACATGGAAGGAACCAGATACATATAGTAAGAGAAAGATCCTTCTAATCTTACATTGACTTGTAGTAGAGATCATCACATGAGAAGGTGGTAAATGAAGAGAAATCGAGAAGAGGAAAGTGGTGGGTTTGGATGAACTCTAATGTGAAGATATACAACGTGAAATAAGACGCTGGGTGAAAGATGGTCTGATATATCACGATCAAACCTGCACGCCGCATGTGAACTGAAATTGTTTTTCGTCGCAGTCAAAGAAATTTAATTCTCCTAGCTAGTACCTGGTACTCCATGGAGGTGTCGGACTACCATGCAAATTTAGTCATTCATTCACCAAGCAACCAAGAGTCCAAGACAGTTATTGCCATGGTAATTTAAGATTCCAGCACTTTCCAAGACTGGTTTACCTTTCTCTCTTTTTTTCAGTTTTCTGCTTTTTGTATTTTTTTGTCCTTTTCTCCATTTTTCGTTTTTTATTTTCATTTTCAATCTTTAGTTTTAAATTTTATTTTAAATTATATTAACATATTTCAAATTCGTGAACAGTTTTTGAAGTCATGAACATTTTTCGAATCCACGGACTTTATTTTTGAAATCATGAACAATTTTCCTTTTAATTTTCAGTTTTCTGCTTTTTGTATTTTTGTCCTTTTCTCTATTTTTTCATTTTTCGTTTTTTCTTTTCATTTTCATTTTTTTCACTCGTTTTTTCTTTCCTTTTTACACCCTCCGTCCCATAATAAAAGATCTTATTACATGATCTTTTATTATGGGACGGAGGTTCATTCTTCCTTTTCTTTTTTTCCTTTTAATTTCATGAACATATTTCAAATTTTTGAACAGTTTTTATAAACCGTGAAGGGTTTTCAAATCATGAACATTTTCAGAATCGGTGAACTTTATTTTTGAAATCATGAGAACATTTTAATTGTGAAAATTTTTAAAATTCATGAACAAATCATAAGATGGTGAACATTTTTAAAATTCATAAACATATTTTGAAAGTTTCAACATTTTATTGGAACTCATGACTATTTTTTAAATCGATGAATTTTTTAATTGGGAACAATTGTTAAAATTACGAACATTTTGTTTTGTTTTGACAAACATTTTTTTGAATCAGTGAAGTTTTTTTCAAAATAATTGGGAAATAATTTTAAAACTTTGTGAATATTTTTTAAAATTTCATCAATATTTCACAAATATTTGTTCAAATTCACCATCATTCTTTGAATACGCAAACAGTTTTCAAAATCATGAACATTCTTTGTTTCCAGAACGTTTTTTTTCAAAATCGTAAACATTTTTTGATTATGTGAAAAAAATTCAAAATCACAAACATTTTTTTGAATCCGTGAATATTTAATGATTTCCTGAACATTTTTCAAAAGCATCAACATTTTTTAATTCAGGAACATTTAATGATTTTCTCATACTTTTTTATGCTTCTTCTAGTCGGAGCGTTGGAGCTATAGTTGTGAAAGTTGCAGCTATGACGATAGCACCCTTAACCGTGAGAGGACTCTAGTTTTTGTAGCCACCTAGACCAGCGTCGTCGCTTAGTTTAATCACAATGGCATGTCATGCGCTCGAGCCCTGCTCCGGCAAGAGAATCCTATTCCCTGGAAGCAACTAAACAGGGGTGTTCCTGGCCCATGAGAGCACGCGAGTGTTTCTCTAGAGATGTAATCCCTTGGATGTAACCCCCGATTCAAATTATTTGTCTTGAATTTGTCTAGATATGGATGTATCTAACACTCGATGATGGATTAGAGGAAGTAATTTTTCTTTTCATTTTTTGCCTTACTCTTTTCTATTCTTCTCTATATTAATGAAGTGGGCAGCTCCTGCCTTTCAAGTCAAGTCAGAAAAAAGAAAGAAACTCAAGAAAATAAAACTTTGAACGTCTCATCTACGCCGTTCGATCAGCAGGCAACGGGCGGGATGGGGCCGCCTGTGCTCTGGGAAGGAAAGTCAGAAGTTGTCGATGAGCTTGGCGTAGGACGTGGTGACCCTGTTCCCTTCCACCCGCCTGCCCTTGATCTCCCTCCTGCGGCACCCCTCCACGCCGGCGCCGGCGCCGGCGCAGATGGTCTTGCGGGGATCGGTGATCCTCTCCCTCCAGTGGCCGTCGGAGAAGTTGGCCTTCCTAGCCTCGGCGACATCCCACCGCAGCAGCGCCTTCTGCCTCTCGTCGAGGAGGCAGAAGCCCTGGAGGCGCGGCGGCATGGCGTCGTGCGCGGTCCACCAGCGCGCGTGCGCCTCGTCGCTGGCGAACTGCCTGAGCTCGGGCGCGTTCCAGTTGCAGTCGTAGTCCCTGAAGCAGAACCAGGGCTTCATCCCGACGAAGTGCACGGCGAGGACGGCGGGCGGGTCGGCGGCGAGGACGCGGCGCTTGGCGGCGGCGCGCTCGGCGGTGTCGCCCTCCCAGAAGTGCTTCATGTAGTTGGCGCGCGACGGCAGGCGGTGCCACCAGGAGAAGACCTCGTTGAGGTACCCCTGGTCGCCGCCGTTGTAGGACTGGATGTCGGCGATGTGGTCCATGAGCAGCCGGAAGGTGCAGTTGCAGGGCTCCACCACCATGACGCCCGAGTTGAAGACCGTGCCGTGGTTCCCCGTGGCGCTCACCTCCGGCATGGCGAAGAGCGGCTCCATGGGGCGCTGCACCAGCAGGTCGGCGTCGAGGAACACCACCCGGTCGTACTCGGTGAGCGTCCACAGCCAGAACTTGCTGTAGTTCCACTCGTTGTAGGCGTCCCGCGACGCGCGCGGGTTCCGGATCCGCCGGATCGTCCGCACCTTCCACCCGGCCGCCGCCAGCGCGCTCCGGTGCCGCTCGCTGATGGTCTCGTCCACCAGCGCCACCATGTCCCGGTCCGACCCCGCCATCCGGATGCTCTGCGCCGCCACCATGGCGCCGCACGCGTACAACTGCTCCGAGTGGAGGATCGTCGCGTACGCCTCCCGCCGCGGCGCCGCAGACACGTACGCCTCCCCTGTTCGACGATCAATCACACACATTAATTCATGGCATGCAACACCAACTTGTTGTGACAAAGACATGTGTTGGCGCGGATTGCTTTCGTACCGAGTGCTCTGAGCGGCATGGCGAGCCTGCAAGATCCGACGGGGAGGGCGAGCTTCTGCCGGAGCTCGCCCATGTCCGGCCGGTACAGCCACACGTCGCCGTCACGCATGACCTCGTCCTTGCACCTGAATAGGTTCGGGGCCGGGAAGCACCGGCTGACGACGATCACGTGCGCCGCCGCGCGCCGGCCATGCTCCTCCGACCGGCCCGCGGCGAGCCGCGCCGCGGCCAGCTGCAGGTGCAGCCGCGGCACGTCCTTGGACCAGCCCGCCGCGCCACTGCACGGGAGCTTCACGGCGACGACGTCGTACCCTCCCTCCGGGGCCGGCGACGGCTCCGGCAGGTCCGGACACGCCGGCGCGTGGTACAGCTCCTCCTCGTCGATCCACTCCGGGTAGAGGTGCGCCCAGGTGACGTTCCCCGCGACGCGGTCCAGGTGCACCGCGGCGGCCGCCGGCAGCAGCGCCCTCCATTGGTCCATCTCATCGCCGTCGAAGTTCAGGATCCCCACGCGCAGTCCACCATCTCCCTCTCGAGCGACCCGTTGCACCGCCATGGAGACGCTCGACCAGTCGACCCTCAGGTCCGACGTGTAACCCGAGTCCGGCTCGCCGGCGTCGGACGTCCGCATCACCGTTGACATCTCAGGCGACCTGACATTTCAGGCGAGATGAATTAAGAAATCCACGTGCATGCATGCACTTGCCACCGGTCGATCACCAAGAAATCCATGTGACTTCTTTCTGACGATCTTTGCACCTTACAAGTGGTTCATAAAAAAAATCGACAAACTAAGAAGAAACTTTCTATGGAATGCCGACGAGGAAGCTCATGGGGGCAAATGTTTGGTGAACTGGAAGCGAATCTGCGCTCCCAAGGCAGTTGGAGGACTAGGCATCAAAAACCTTTCCGCCTTCAGCACGGCCCTGCGGCTGCGCTGGCCCTGGTTTGAGTGGGACGATATGGATAGACCGTGGAAGGGGACTCTTACACCATGTGACGCTGCTGATCAACAACTCTTTCAGTCATGCACAAAAATTACTGTTGGAAATGGAGCGAGAACCACTTTCTGGACTGATCGTTGGCTGGATGGAGTGGCACCGATGGAATTGGCACCTGGCCTTTATAACATTGCGAGACACAAGATGATTTCTGTGGCTGATGCTATTCGCGAGGGTGGATAGATGAAGGGGCTGCAGCGCATGGCCTCGGGTGAACTGCTGCAGTCGTTTGTTTCTCTGTGGCATAAAGTTCAACAATTCAGCTTAAATGGAGAGGAGGATAAGATCATTTGGAACATCTCGGCCAATGGGAACTACTCAGCCAAATCTGCATATGAGCAGCAAGTCATTGCGCGTATCCCAATGCCGCGCTTATTAAGAGTGTGGAAGGTTGAGGCTGAATCTAAGGTCCAATTCTTCATATGGACCTTTATCCAGAACCGCCTCTGGACGGCCGATCGCTTGCAGCGTAGAGGATGGGAGCATCAGGCCACTTGTTGCGCCTATGATCAGGTTCTTGAATCGGCTAACCACATCATTCCGGGTTGTCCATTTGCGAAGGAGGTTTGGTACCTGATGGCCAATCAGTTCGGTAATGCTGCGGCGGTTGCGCTCCAATCCTCCTCTGTCAACACATGGTGGGATAAGACATTCAAACTAAAGCAAAAAGGAGTATTGTTGGACGAGTGTACGGGGGCTGCATGCGTGGCTTGAAACCTATGAAACGCGCGCAACCGGCGGATCTTTCAGAATCAACAGCGCTCTGCCGCGGGGGTATGTTCTTTGATTAGGGATGAATTAGGCCTCCTGAAGGAGGCATAGGAGTAGTACCATTTGTTCTCGCCAGGATGCATGTCGCATCTCTGGCTTAATGTTTTGCTTCCCCGGCTGATTCTTCAGACCGTTGTACAGTTTTCCCTCTCTTAATGAAAAGGCAGAGCACCTGCGATTATGGTCAAAAAAAAGATGGGGATTATTATCTGAAGATTTTTGCTCACTCACTGTGTGCTGCGTTGGTCGCCGCCATGGTGGATCGACGGCGAGTGGAGGAGGCCCATGAAGGAGCCGCACATGAGGATGAGGAGGACAAGCTTCACGTAGAGCATCTTGCCGCTCAAACCTTGAGGAAATAACAGGGCGCTGAAGCTGAACGGCTTGTCCTTGGCGCAACAGCTTCCCACGTAGCCCTTCTTGGTAAGACCGTTCCTGAAATTATTAACAGGCACAGTCGCACACACATGAGCACTTGAGTTTTCATCAAAGACTCAACAAAATTATTATCAAGGTAAGAAGTTGAACAACAATTAACCCTGGTGTTTTTACTGAGATACAATGTCCCTTTAAAAAAAATTACCAGTACCCGCGACCGATTTCTGACTTTTATTTCCAGTTTCATGACCTGAAAGTCACATATCCAATCTTCAGTTCTTCACCTACTAGTCATCAGGGACAATTAGTACCATGCTCCTGACAGTCATCCAGCACCCGTCGCATTTCTCATCGTTATCGCGGACTTATATAATTGCTACATATCGCGGTAGCTTTCGCTATGTATGTTTGACTCCATCAATCTCCTGCCGTGTTGACGGCATCGTCACTCATGTGCCCATTTTTACTTGTCCTGCTGCAGCTGTTTTCAGAGGCCGGCTAATCTTCCTTTTGCTTGGCAATTGGCATACAAGCATGGAGAATGGAACAATTCTTCAGAGCTGGAGCAGTGTTAACTGTGATTTTTTCTCCGCATGACGCCTCTGATAGGGTTGCTAGGTCAGAGCAGCTGAGCAAACCATGATGCAACTCCTTACGTGATTCGGTGACTCTGATGTAATCCATGTTACTAGTAGTTCAGCTAGATGGCCAAGAAATCTGGTTATTAGACGCCAACTTTGGAGATATGGGTTTTGGTTAGATGTACACGTTACCCTTATTTATTTATTTTACAAAAATATTACCACCTATGGAAGTTACTTGTGCCTACTTGCTGTGAAACAAAAACTGTTTTACTTTACTCAATTATAACTACATAATCTGTGTTGCGCATCATATGTGAAAATTGCTTGTAAACTTGAAACCGGAGCTAAAATCACCTAAAGCTGCATGGCTTGTGAGAATAGGATCAGCAGG